TGCTTTTTAATGAGTGGAAAGCTTCTTATGTGAGTGCTGGCATGGTTCCACTTTCGGTGGCTTCCTGCTTTGCTAATTTTATATAATTTCACATGTTCTACTGGACAGACCTGTGTTAATTCTCAAAGCAGCAGTATGCCTGCAATTAAAACTGTTTTGGTTTTCTTCTCCAAGCTCTAATTACTTCCGTTTATATAATTTCACATGTTCTACTGGATAGACCTGTGTTAGTTCTCTAAGCAGCAGGATGCCTGCAATTAAAACTGTTTCTGGTTTTATTCTCCAAGCTCTAATTACTTCACTGGCTTGCTAACAATAATTAGAGTTCATCTTTCTGACCCGTGAAGCATTATTTTATCTCATTGGAAATACTAAGACTAGTACCCATGTAGAAGGAATGTACTTTTGCTGGGACAAATGTGTTACCAGTGTTAGAAGCCTTTAGTGAGTATGGTGCATGTGTAGTTTGTCTTGCTGGCTTTAAGTCTTGTTGCCGGTGGTGACCTGCAGACACTGCTCCTCTGTGCAGGTGTTTATCCATGTGGGAATGGTGGCAAGGAGACAGCTATGAACACTCTTCAGGAGTAACTTGATTGGAAGGGAAAAGGAAGACAGTTTTGTGCACTAACTCGGTCAATGTTATGTCCCTGTTTAAATGGATCTCTTATTACCCCTTAGGTAGGATAGAATATGTGCTACTTTAAGTGCTTTTTTGTTAAAGTCTTGACCTTGTAGATTTCCCCAGACTTTCACTGGAACAAGTGTTATCCCTTTGTAGGAGTGGCGTTTCTGTGTGCTAAGATAAGTCTTGTGATATGTATGTGTAGTTTATGTTTCTGGTTTTGGAAAGTCAGATCATTTGTTCAGGTGATGATTGCCATTTGCCATTAGACATTATTTAGTATAAATTATATTTTTACGCTGTTTTTGTTGATGGGAAAATAGTTGCAGTGGTCGTAGGAGTGTGTTCACTCTTTTTTCCGTTTTCTGCAGGACTTGTATATAATGTCACTCCATACATGGAATATCATCCTGGTGGTGAGGATGAACTAATGAAAGCAGCGGGAACGGACGGTACAGATCTCTTTGATCAGGTGACAACAACTGGCAGTGGATAATTTGCTCACTGAAAGGCATAATGAAAATTTCATGTTTTCTCTTTGTTTTTAGGGCATCCCTGTGGAAGTGGTGATTTAAATTTCCCCAAGGATAAAGAATGCTGAAAGTAGCGTATGGTTTAAGTCTAATATCAAAAGAAAGTAATGGACAGCTTTACATTGCTGAGATGCTGTTTTCATTAGACTATTTATTTGGGTTTTTTTAGCTGAAATGACAATAAAGTTAACAATTTGAGATCCCTGCTTTGTAATAAATTTCTGCATGGATTAACTTCTGCCTGCAGAGAGACTTTGTCTTCTCAGAGCATACTCATTTTTTGACAAATGCTTGTAGGATTCTTTTGTGTATTAACTCGTTTACTGTATTATCAGTTAACAAAGTACTACGGAAAATTGCTGGCACTGCTATGGACTGATTGTGCACAAATCATAAGATGACATTTTTAAGTGTTTTGAAAAACACCTTTTTTAAGAAACAGATGTTCTTTAAGCTTCTTTCATTCGTATATGTTGAGAACCAGGGACAAAACAGAAAAGAGAAGTAGTTCTGTCTTTACAGTACTCTTGCGTCACAGTACATTATTTGCACATTGTTTTTAACAGTACATGTAAACAAAGGAAAGATGTGATGAAGTCTATTTTGTTTAGCTTCCTTTGGCTAATCCTTTTGCAAATGAAGTGTTGAGTTCAGGCATAATACTGCATTGATCACAGAGCATCTCTGGTTTAAAGAAATTTGGAGTTTCTCTTCTAAAAGTTAATGCAGTATCAAGTTGTGACCTGGAATTCTGAATTGTTCCTAAGTTCACACATGTACTTGCTATTTTAAAATTTAATTTTTGTCTAGGAGTGGAGAGCAGTGTTCAGGTTCAGAAAACATGTAAACATGTTCTTCACATTTCCATTTCTGGCTGATATATTTTCTGTTCCAGAGCCATTTCCATTGTTATCCTCTCTGCTTTAGCATTCAGGATTGGCCAGATACTGATCTCTTTAAATGTTTAGTAGGTTGCTAGCACTTCTCAGAGTAGGCTCTAAAAAAATAGCTGTAACTCAAAATCCTTCACTTCATTCCATTATCTGTATACTAGGAAACTTCTGCTTTTACATCCTTCTCCTTGTCTCATCACCTTAGCTTTACCAGTCTGAAGCTTTTGTTTTTATTTCTTAAATCTCTGTGCTACTCACATTTGTACTGTTGCACTCTGTTTCCTTGTGATGTTATCATGGGTGACATATCAGAATTGGCTTTTTTGCTCTCCATTTCCTATGGCATCCTATAGGTTGCAAAAGCCACTGCTTTTTCTTGAATTTATTTAACTTTATAGAATTGATCACTGAGGGCTTTCAGTAACTGAATGTTTCCCAACAATTCAGTATTTACAAGAGAGAAACAAATACACCAAACTTCTGGGAGTTACTGATGTAGCTAAACTGTTACATGCTGTCTGTCTGTCCTTCATCAGATGCTCCTTTTTCCTTGTCATTTGTATCTAGAAAAAATTATTTCCCTTGTGGTAAAGACCTACTCAGGTTCTTTTCATTACATAAGGTGCAGGTGGGGGGTGCTGTAAACATTTAAATCCTTCTGCAATCCTTGGTGTAATTTTGTATAGCTTAGGACTGTAGTAATCATATACTGCAAAGTATAAAATAAATAAAGCTACTATTTTTTTCAAGGCTGTTTTTTTTTTTTTTACTTCAAATATTTGCTACTTGTAATAGAAGTAAAAATGAATAATGAATCGTTGAACAATAAGTGTTTTTGGGTAAGAAAAAGTAACTTAATTTCTAAATTAATATCATCCGTTGTACAAAAAAGGAGCTCTCTTGCTATGATATTTTACTACATAGAAACACAGTAAAAAAATACAAATTTTATGAAAACAATTTTTTTAATACAGGTTCATCGTTGGGTCAATTATGAATCCATGCTGAAGGAATGTCTTGTTGGAAGAATGGCTCTCAAGCCTGCCTCTGTTTCAAAAGGTAAGTGTTCTAGAATTAAATTTCTAATGTTTTATTCCAAAGTTATCTGGAGGTATGCGAAATTGTAGATCATCATATTTATGAGGAGAGTGTATTCTGGCACACAGATGAAGACTGCTGCATATATTTCGTCTTCTGACAGCTTGGATGAAAATGTTTTCTAAATGAAGACTTTTGTATGAGAGATACTTCTACATTTCTTTTGTTTTAGTCGCTAGAAAACAGGGATGTGTGTATGTACATTCTCCATCCTTGGTAAGGAACTCTCCTCTTTCTTCAAGTCCTGAAGGACAAGTTGTCATAGGCAGGTCTTGAATGCAATTTAGAGCATAGAGAAATTAAAGTGACACTTTTCGTGTAGTGGCTTCAGTGCCAGATGTATGTCTGGAAAGGTGCGTATGTATGGAGATGCATGGAAGAGTAGTTCTTCCCAGAATCCTCTACTCTGTCTTCTGTATAATAAGATAATGTAATTCATTTTTAATTAATAAGAGATGTAATTAATTTTACTAAAATTAGTGGCTGATGCTGTTTCTATGTGTTTTTTTTATTCTTTCCTAAATTTGATTTCATACTTGCTCAGTACTTAGATTAATTTGTGCTACAGTTAACTTGAATTTCTTTATCTCTGCTCTTTTGAGGGGGAAATAGGATTTTACATTTCCATGCTGCTAGATAGCTAACTCTTGTGGAGTTTAAGTGTTGCAACCTATGAGCAAATTAAGACAGGTAACTGCTTTATAGTTAATGGAGTTGATGTTACAGTTGAATTGCTGCCCCTTTGTCACCTCTGTTACAAATTTAAAGATAAATCTCCTTTGTTTGTTTTTATTTCATTAGTGTACTTCTCTGCAACCAGATGGAATTATTGTAAGAGGCAGTGAATAAAAAATAAATGCATCTCTGCTTCTGCCAGCTATGTCTGCCCATTTTTTGCTTTTTGCTTTTTCTTCTTTTGCCACCTCCTTTAATAGGATAGCTCCATCCATTTGACTGCAGTAAAATTTGAAACCCGTTGGTTTATACAGCCAGCAGGTTGAAACTTTGCCGGTTGTATAAAAATGATTGTGTTGTCTGTGTGTCTTTTGGTCAATTCAGGCTTGAAGAAAATATTTCATTCCATTTAATTAAGAATGAAATCTGTCAGAGTTGAAAAAAAGCTTATTGAAAAAAAGCAGCAGTAACAGTAATCTGCTTCAGCTAGCCAAGTTGTTTAATAGTTAGGTTCTTCAATACATAACCCAGGCAAAACTGAATTTGTCAGTTAATACTATCCCTACTCAAAAATAGTAGGCAAAAATGGCCCCCAGGGACAGTTGCTTAAAGGGAAATTCTTCAGTGCAAAAATCTAGAAGCTTGTTTGATTCATGGTGGGTTTTGTAACCTCTTCTTCTGAATAGTAAATTATGAAGAATGATGAATTTTACTAGTGGGCAGCAATGATTTTTGCAATATGTCTTTCTGTGAAAGAACAAGTTCAGCAAAACTTGGATTTGAAAATTGAAGAATAAAGTACAGAGCTAAGGTGTATGCTTTTGATTTTAGTATTAAATTGGACAATATGTGTAGAAGAAAGACTCTTAGTGCAAGACTCTGACTCAGTGCAAAGAGTTTTGTGGCAAGGGTGAGCCTTTGACAATATTGCTAGCATTGGTACTTACTGTTTTGTATAGTTTCAGTAAGATGCTAGAAAGCCAGATAGGGGATTCTTGGAGCGTTGCTGGAATCTGTGACTATTTAGCTCAGTTTTGTATTTCCTAAATTAAAAGCCATTATTTGGAAGATGATTCTGTGAGAAAATAACAGTACTTTCTGAGGAAGTTTAGGCTCACCCTTGCATGATCTAGGGTTGGTGAATGAAAGAAAAGTCTTCTGTGGCTGTTGGTCACCAGTAGCCTTGTGCTGACTTGTCTTTGGGGCTGCTGCTTGATGCTGTGGTGGTGACTAATAGGAGGCTCTTGTGTAGTGTCCCGGAGCAGCGGGGACTTACAGCCATGCCTGGAATGGGTGGCCTGGTACTTGGTGTGAAGACCTGCGGGGTAGCTACAGCAGTAACCAGGTGTGTGAGATGGGATTTCTCTATGTCCTTTCCTCTCCTCAGAAATCCTTTACAGTTTTGAACTTTTTGCCATTATTCTGCTTGCCTTCTTTTCAGGGTACTTGGCTGTAGATGTTAGCACATACGTTGCTTTAGCATCTGGTACCTTTATTCATAAAGCAGAATATAAAGGAGGTCTTTAAAGCTTATCACTATCTCTGTATAGAGAGGCAGTAGGTGCCTTGGTACATCCTGAGGGCTGTTTCCCCCCACATATTGTGAGCAGGAGAAAGATACTGCTCTTGGAAGCACTGTCCTTTGCCCTTGAGTTGAGTGTTGTTGAATATATGAGTTGACACTACATGTTCATGCGCATACATGCGCTTTATCCTCTGGTCCATTTTCCTCCTAGTATTTATGACTTTTTTTTTTTTTGTTTGAAAGTTATTGCAGAATACTGTAGTTTTCATGAAAAGTTTGGATAATAACTTTTCAAATAATAAAACCATTTACAGAAGGAGCTAATAGAAAGATATGTTTCCCCTGATTTTCTATCAAGCATTGGGCTTAAAGTCAGATTTAGGGTCTACTACATGCTCACTTGAGACAAATGTCATTTAAAGTCTGACAGATTCAGGAAGTTTTGCAAGCTTTTTGGCTGTGAAGTTTATAATAGAAGATAATCTCTGCTGTTTTGTTTTGAATTGATAATACAAGATAATGTCTGTTTGTTTTGCCTTGTCAGATAGAAGTTCTTCCCTTTCCTACCTTTGAGTGTTATGCAGCTTTTGACACTTTTAACATAGTATTTTTTTTCACTTATACAGTATGTTTTGTAGTGGTATTCTGTATTTAATCTGTATGTAGTGCTCTGTTTGGTATCTTGATTGTTGAAGTATCCTTGTCAATCATTTTATGTTCTGGAGGTTTTCATTGGAGATCCTTAATTTGGCTCATTTCTTTGAAGTTGGCAGGCACACATCTCATTACTGTCTTGGTCACTGTTATTTTTCTTGATGCTTGTAGAAATTTCCTCTATATCTGAAGAGAAGAAACAGCTTAATGGTAAGTGTTTGACCTGGGGAAAGGTGGGGAGCAAATCTTAGAATTAATTTGAATGCGTTTATTAAACGAGCAGCATTTATGCGACCTCTGTCTGTATATATCAATCTCATATTGAGGTGGTAGCAATCTGTGGGAATTACAGGAGGCAAAAGCCTAATTCAGGTGAATTCAGGGATGAAGTGTTGAAAGGCAGCAGTGGAATAGGTGGAAAAGGGAGTTTGATGCTAGAGGCCACTGCTTGGGGGAGGTCCTTCATGGATGTAGTTTCCGTTTGAGTCAGATAAGGCAGGTCGCAAATTGCAACTTGCTGCTGAAATTTGTCAGTGCAGAATTGTTTGCTTTTACACCCCCCCGTATTAGAAAAGTTAGGTGGCTAAGGAGCAGGAATAACAGAAATGGCATGAGCTTTTGTGGGGCGTATAGAATTTACTGAGTTAGATTCCACTGAAAGCTGAGTGAGAATGGCTAAGTTATGTCTTTGATCCTTTTTAAGGAAGGAGAGCTATCAAGCAGTTAGTGATCCTGGTTTTAGAGGCTCCCTAAAAGAGCCTCTTGGGCTCTTTGCATCCAGTCAGTCCAGGTATGATGGGTGTGTTGGCAGAGGAAATCAGATGAACGTGGAGGGAACCTGTGAAGGGAAAATTATAGTGTTTGAGCTGAAGGGCGACCTTTTGGCATAAAAACAGACGGGTCTCCATGCTCTGCCCGCTGCTTGTGTCTTCCCATTTGTTTTCCTCTGTTTTCCTAACCCTTGCTTCATGTTCTGTGAATGTTGCTTTGACTTCTAAAAAGCAGATTACATTTTAGTGTGAACAAGCACTGAACTACACAAACATAGTTTTAATACTAGTTAGGCATATATTATATAAAAGGAAGCAAAACTGATTTGTTTCTGTTTTGCCAATAGCCTTATACATAATTACATTAAACTCTGCAACAATCAGCTTTTGTCTCTTGTTTATTTTTTACTTCAGTACTGAACAAGTTGTTGGAATCTGCTTAAGGCAAGAGGATTTGGAAAAACAAACTGCTTCACTGTCATCGGATTTATATCCCAGTGCAGCAGTTTGTAGTCATTAAATAATCCAAGACTAATTGTGCCATTTACTCCAGTGTTGTTCTTTCTTCTACTTGGTTGTGTTGGTACATGAATTTCTTGTTTTTTTGTTTGTCTGTCTGTGCTGAGCTTTTTATATAGCTCTTTTCACACTGATGGCTGATCCAAGAAATGAAAAATGAGTGAAATTCCTTCTCCCTCTTTCCCGTCTTGCTTCCCTACCTGCTCCTAGACACACTGGATTTTTTTCCTTCAGGTCATGTGAATTGTCAGAAGACATCGGAAACGTTGTGTGTTTCCAGCTTCTGATTGTAGTTTCCTACAAAAGTGCCCCAAATTAATGAAATTTTAAATAATTTGTTTGCTGTTTTTGGGGTACCTGTCAGACAAGACTCTTGAAATAGGAAATGTCAGTCCCTGAAGATTTTGGCACTGACCTTAGCAGTTGTGGATATTTTTTATTTAATTTGTTTTACATTCTATGACTTTTTTCGTATTCCATTGTTATGTCTCAGGGTCTAGCTCTAGTAAATTAAAGTCTAAATGAAACTAGAAATAAGTCTGGCTGTCTGAAGATGGGAAAGAGAAGCCTAGGGCATGCTGTGTTTTTTAGGTGGCACTAATGTGTTCAGCACTAATGAAGACATTTCTGTAGTAATAACAGTAAAATAAATGACTTGGGCAGTTCCGCCATCTGAAAACAATCTGGTGGTGTTTGGGAATAAGGACAACAGAATTTGAAAAAACATACGATGTGGAAAGGGGAGGCAGAAGGGGATATTCTAGAGCTTCCAGTAAAGAAAACAAACTCTTGTGGTTCAACATGCTGGCATTATTCAGAGCTTCTGGTAAATCACATTACAAAAAAGAACTGGAACATTTATATTTGATGTATTCGAATGTGTCAGGTCCATTCTGGCCCCTGCCCAAGGTTAGTCTGACTGTAGTTCTCCAGGTCTCTCCTCTTGCTTGATGAGGGGAGGGATATTTGTCTTTTCTTCAGTGACTGGGAACCTCCCCTATGACCCTGTGTCCTTTGTCATGAGTGTGGCCGCCTTCCTCGTCGTGCTTGTGTGGATCCCGCCTGCTCTCGTGGCCTTCGCGCAGCACCTGGCAGCAGTTCAGGCTAATTCTCAACGTGCTGGGTTTGCTGGAGTCGGAGTGTGGGGCATCACTGTGAATTTCAGCACAAGGTTGCTTCAGAAGACGACTTCTATAGAAACTTCACAATCATATGCCATCTATATTTTTAATAGTCTTACTCATGTCAAGTAGGAGCTTTTGTTTCTCTTGAGAGAAGTCCTGTCAAAGAGACTTTCTGATACTTGCTGGGTAAATGTGGTATTGCAGCCTGATTAGAGCTAATGCCAAGTGTGATACAGCTTATTGCAACCTTGCTCAGAAGGCTCCGGATCCTTTTCAGTGGCAGGGGGTTCTGTCCCCGTTGAGTGCAGGCCCTGGCATCGCTTTCCTGTGGAGGCCCAGCTGAGTTATAGTGTCTCTAAGAAAGGCTCAGCCGTGGGCAAGCGTTTTGTCATTAGGTGGTGGGTTTTCACTTGCAAAGGTCAGACTGCTCTGCCCTGAGCTTCCTTGGCTGCTGCTGAGTATGCCCCGGGCATAGGGGTAATCGATGGTGAAAGTGCAAGAAATTCAGGCAAGTATTAATTGGAATGGGATAATTCCTTCATATGGATGATCCATCATTTTGTCAGATTGGGTTAACCAGAGTGGGCCTCTCTGTTTTTATAGACTTCCCACCTGGTCACGTCACAGAATTTCTGTGTATAAGCTTGTAGTCAGACTGCCAGACTTCCCGGTGCTTAGAAGATAATGCCCTAAGTCAATGAGAAAATTAATCCGTTAATTATATTTTTATGAATAGCCACTTCTGGTGTACAAGGTTTGCCATTGAATGCGCTTAAAAGATCCTAGGAAGCAAGCTTTTCTACAGTGTGATTAATTAAAGATTGCTCAGCCCCAGATCGCCTTTGTTCTTAGAGGAATATAGTAAAGAATTGGTTTTTATGTCCCCACGTTCTTAGGAAAATGTTTTACCCCATAGGAATGATCTTTCCTGGTAGGAAATATCTGTTCCTTGCCTTCAAAATAACCGTCCTTTTGCAATAAGAACGTAATTTTTTGTTATTTTAGGCCTCTACTTACCCACTGTCCAGTGAAATTCCTGCTGTCCATGTGGTGTTACAAACCACGTTACACTTCAACTTGTGCATTTTCTGAATTGTGGCTCTGTACAATTGCCTGGCATCAAAGGTGATGGAGGACTGCTGCTTGCTTGGACCTGTCATTTCTACTCAAGTTTTAGCCAAGTATATCCCATTTCCCTTAGGCTACAAGTGAGTTTGGCTGTGCCAAGACTGAACAAGTGCTGCCTCCCAGTAAAGGTTTGTTCAGACTGTTTCATGATGCTGAAGCAAGTAGCTGAATTCTGCAAAGATTCCTATAAAGATACAAAGTGGAAAGTTTAAGATTGAAATTTCTGCTTGATTCACTAATGTAAAATTTTACATGGGAATTAGATTAAACTGGGCGTTCAAGATTGAATTTGCTGATCTGTATTTTGTAAGCAAATAGTTCTGTTAAAGTAAATTAATAAGGACAACTTTTTTTCTATTTCACTACCACAAAGCGCGAAGGCACAAGCCAGTGACAGATGCAACTGAAACCAAGTTCTGTGTCCTAGAAAGTTTGCGCGCACAAGTTCTGTGGTATATGGAACTCTAATTTCTGAAATAGAACTTCCCGTTTTAGGAGCTTGCTCTCCACATAAAAACATCAAAAACCTATGAGAATGCCTGTGTCCATCTGTGGAAATAAACTCACCAAATATCGAGGAAGGGTATTTAGCACATAAATGTTAAATGTGTGATTATGGTTCCTGTTAAGTGAACATCCCTGCAAATGTTTTAATGGCTGTCTGTCTTTTGCAGGTATGCTTCTTGAAAAGAAAGTGCTGGATGCCTCTGCTAAAGATTCAGCTCCAAGGTATGCCTTTCTTACCTGTTGAACGTGTTGTTTAATAGCTCCATGCAGTTCTTACTCAATGCAGGCAACTTCTTCCATGTTTAGCTCTCAGTGTTTTACCTAAATGGGTACATTGTCATTATCATCCTCTTAAAAGTAGGAGAGTTGAGGTTCCATAATTAAACTATTTCATGATCAATCTTCCCAGATTTGTGGGGAATTTGGAAAATAAGAATGGAAAAACTTGATTTGAGGGGATGAAAGGGATTGCTCTTTTGTGGTGTGTGGTGGAACTAGTAGTTCTCGGACTCTACCTTGGCCACTTTAGTGATTTTTTTGTTTTTGACTACCTTGCTAGGAAGGTTCACGTGTTGCAGGGAGAATGCATGTGCCTGTTGAGCAAGACCAGTGCAATGTAATTCTAGCTACAATATGCTAACTATCAGAGTGGGTAACTACACTCCTCTTATTTTAGTGTTATTTTGAAAATAATTGGCTCTGGTGTTACGTCTGCAAAACACAGTAAATAACGTATTTAGCTTCTAACTTCATGAAAGTTCTGCTTGAAAGCTGTTAAGTGTACATCCGAAAAGTATGTGTGTTTTTTTTTTTTCTTTATTTTTTGTTTTACAGTTATGACTGGTTCCAGACAGATGGGTTGATCACCATTGTTATATACACTAAGCAGAAGGTAAATACGTCTTATGAAAACTACAAGATCCAGTTGTGGTCCTGCTTGAATTCCACAACAACTTTTACTAAAATAATATTCTTTTTTGTGCTGATATAAGGATGTGAATGCAGAGTTGGTGATAGTTGACTGTCAAGACAAAAGATTAAGGGGAGAGATCATCGTTAATGACTACTCGTATGTCTTAGAAGTTGGTAGGTATTTTAATTTGCAGTTCAAAATGCTAAGCTTTTTTTTTTTTTAAGCATCTTGCAGACCATGTATAGTGTATTTTATGTATACCAATTCACATTTTATGTTTTCCATAGGAGAAGATTGCTTAAAAATACCCCATGTAAAGGAAGTCATTGTCAACTCGCATATCTTTATTTTTAGCATGTCCTTTTTTTAATATCATTTGTCATGTAATGCCCAAAGCTACGTAAAATAAGGTATAATAAGAAATAGAAGACTGAAAACTTTATATGACATTGATACCAAGTGTGTGTTGCTGACAAAATGCTCTTGTTCAAAAATGGTAAATGAAATTATTCTGATAAACGTAGATTGGTAGCTTTGCATGAGTCACTGGTTAAAAAACCCCTGAGGAAACGAGTGCTTTTCTTGATGTTGTGTGTGTTCAGTTCACAGAAGTTGCTGCGATTGGTATGATGCAACAGAGTGAAATTTCAAGACATGATAAAGATTCGTAGGGTGCTGGGCTGAATCGTTCACTTGCTGTTTCTGGTCTTGAACTGAATGTCTCTATGAAGACTGGGATGTGACTTTTTTTTTCTCTCCTTAAAAAATGATTTATTTTTCTTTATTTTAGAGTTGGATCATGCAGTTGAAGAAGACTTTTCAAGTAAGTCCTGTCATTTTTCTTCCGTATCTCTTAATGAGGGGAGTTGTGTCTGCCTATTTTATTTTGCCTCTGAGTATTCACTTATCAGATAGTTGATGCTATCAGTTTGTGACACAATCAAATCAAGCCATTAAATCAACCACTTTAACAGTAAAATCATTAGAAATAATTTCTTTGTGTATTTGTAGAACTTTCTCTACCTAGATTGAGATTTTTCTTAAATTCATTTGTTCATTCAAATGACAGGAGGAGGTAAATATTGCTGGTTTGTACCAATTTCCAGTAATTGAGAACTTTGAATTCATGAGCCTTCTTTTGGACCAGATGGGCTGTCAAGCTTTTCAATGTATTTAGTAAATAGGATGTGTTAATTATGCATATTAAGTTAGTGCTTGTTGTTTTAAATATTCTGATTAATATTATAAAGAGATAGCTGGAAGTATATTTAATTTGGTATTTTAATTTAACACATTAATTCTGTGCACCTTGAGAAATGACCAGTCCTTCTCCAGTGTCATTATAATAGAGAAGAAAAATTTTTTTTTACAAAATGTAACTAAAACTAATAATATGAAATTCTTTTCCTCTTTCAGTAAGAATTGCTGAAAAAATTGGAAAGGTAGAGATAAACTTGAAGAAAAAAGATAACATTCATTGGAAAATGCTGGGACAGCCTTTGGAGAGCCATAACACCTTTATCAAGCGCAAGGACAGAGGTAAACAGTTAAATGCCCTGTTATGTTACTGATTGTTTCAAGGTTTTCCAGGGCATATTAGGCATACTTGGGCTCTTTGTTTTCTTTAGTCTTACTTCATTTCTTTCAGGGTAATTTTGTGGTTTTGCTGAAAGCTATCCAAGAAGTTTCCTTGAGAGGGCTTAATTAGGGGGTTTTAATTTTTCCTTCCATGGTGCAAGTGAAGATCTTTCAGGTTTACTGTAAGACCTAACAGGATGGAGGTGAAGACTGCTTGAGGGAGGCTGCATTTCATAACTGTACCCATGTGCTTCATATTCCTTCTGTTTATTTGTAAACCTGAGGAGAGATAGCCAGTGGTATCAGTCAATGCAGGAATAACTTTAGCGAAGGAATGGAAGTCTGCAGTTCCAGCTGTTACTATAGATGCATCCTGTTTCATATGTGATGTTGCAGCATCCTGCATATTTGTCGCATGAACAATGATCGCAGGCTTTGCAGGGCCTCATTTAAAGTTACGAGAGGCAGCTCTGAACTAGCTGATGTGTCACAGGAAGCAGTAGATGACTATTACAGCACTAGCACAGGATGGCTTCGTAGGTGCAAGTGCTGCCTCAAGTGTTAGCTTGACACAACACTCAAGGGCTCTGGGGTGATCACTGTGCTGCTTGTTTAGAGCTAAATTGGAAATTTCTGTGCTATACTTTGCACAGCATTTAGTCGATGGGCTGTTTGTGCACCCTGCAGGCAGCAGGCTGAAAAGGGCCATGTGTCAAACACTTGTCCTTGCCTCCAAAATAGCTACATAAACAAACATTTGTCATTCACATTTGTCCTCGTAGACTATTTAAGTGAGCATGAAGCACATAAGTGGAGTTCATAATAGATGTTGGCCAAGAGGTAGTGATTCTTGTCTAAAGTATTGCTAATGAGGGGGGGTGCTTTGTGCAGGGAGGTGCCTGTCCTGTTGGTTCAGCTGCGGTTGTGTGTTGAATCCTGATAGGCTTTTAAGCTTAGATATCTAAAGGTTAAAAGGCTGTACAGGAAATGTGGACACTTCTGTTTTTGTCAGTTACCAAGTTCTTGCTGTAACGTTTCATATTTTGGACAGTATACTCCAAACGCTCCTTTTAGCATTTACAGCATGTTCTTATGTATGGTAGCATGAGCAGCCTTTTAGCTGAGAGCAGTGGGTGATGAAACAGCTGGAGGAGAGTTTTGCTTGTGTGCTGTGATCCCCAGGAGTGTAGAGGCACAGGGAGCTGTGTTGGACGTGCTTTTTGCCTTAACAGGGATGAAACTGCAACAGTGTAGGCTAGTCAGCAGAATAATAGCCAGGATTTGGTGGGTATTGACAGGCCCTTGCAGAAGACCCTGGTCCCGTGTTTGGTTACTTCTCCCTTGCATTGAGCAAACTGTTTTTAATCTGTCTGTGTCTGTGCCTGTGCCTTCATATTGTAATCGTATGGTGGACGTAGTGCAGATACAAGCAGTGGTTTTGCTTTCCATGGGTATGTGGCATAATCTAAATGTGGGAGCTTTTCTACTTCTTCCGAGTCTGTGCTAACTGATAACTCGAAGATTCAGTCTGTTACTAAGAGCATAGTTAAGACTGTAAACGAAATCGTGGCCCCAAATAGGAAAAATAATTATAAGTAATGATACAAGAAGAATCTGCTTACATGTTTTGATAACTGTGTGTATAGTGAGCTATATATTTATTTGTCTCTTTCTTATTCATATGAAAACAGATAACCTGGTTAAGGTTTAAATAACAAGTAGAACGTTTTTAGGTCTGTTCTACAGAAAATGCAAGTTGGTTTCTAAGACAGAAGTTACCCATGACACCAAGCTCTTCTGCTTTAAGTTGCCTGAGAGCACTCATTTCCAGATTCCCACTGGACAACATGTTTACCTCAAACAAGTTGTTGCAGGTAAGAAAAATAGAGAACATAATCATGTTTTTTTTCATATGAAACCATAGTTAGAATGTCTGCATTTCTGTGATCAGAGTCACTGCTTCAGTAATGACCTGACTGGATTAATACTGCCAGAAGGCTGAATAAAAAGATGTCTGTCAGCCTGGTCTGTTACGTCGGTTCTTCTCTTCGGCCAACTCTGCCCTTAAAACATTCTCCCTAACCAAGAAGTGCTGCTCATCTTTGAGGGGAAAGAAGTTCACCGTGTATCTATTACAATTACAGAGGGTTATGTTTCTGTCTCACTCCTGTCTGAATTGCTCCCCTCACCCTTTAATTTGTGTTTTGAAAAATTTCCATTGTGCTACTTATACATGGCAGAGAAAAATTTTCAGAATGCTCGGAAGAATTACTCAGTATCTTTTATTCCTAAAGTGTATTTTGTCCTTCCTCCCCTCCCGCTACTTCTATGTCGGTATTCAACTCTTGCTGACTTTATTATTACTATTAAATGATAATAAAAGAAAATACAACCATAGTGTTAAAAATCTTTTATTTCAATAAAAAATGAATTTATGGTATTTGAAACCGAGTAGTAATAGATATTAATTTTCATTGGAGGTGACCATAATCTTCTTTTCCAATACTTTTGAATTGCTAAGTAGTATAGAAATAACATACTATCCTGTGGCCTAAAGATTCTAGTTAAAGGTCTGGAAGACTTTTAATAAGAAATGATACAATGAAAAATAAAATACTTGTTTAAAAGTATGCGGTATGATGTTATTTATATGAGATACATAGATTATTGTTTGCAGAAAAAACTGCTGAATAAAGGACATTTCTTTAGCTGCTGTCTTCGTCTTCTGTTTAGGGACAGAGGTGGTAAAACCATACACACCTATATTGCCTTTTTTGCCACTGGATTTCAAAGAACCATCTTGCCATGATAGTACAAATATATACTTAATGATTAAAATTTATCCCAGCGGACTGTTCACACAGGCCCTTGACCACCTACAAATTGGTAAGTATAAGTGTTGTTTTCTTGTTAGGTTTTGTAGCAATTGCATTATCTTAGCAGATTCGCTGCCATGGGTATCATTATGTTTTTTCCCCAGTTAAAAATCAGTGCATCCTTTTAACTTTTTTAATCCTGTTTCTTGTCTCAAACCTGCAGCTTCATCCTCACTGTAATTAGGAACAGTCCATTATATGAGACTGTTGTGACTGACCTTGCAAATGGATTTATATTGGAGTATAACTGTTTAGATGTATCAACTGTATTAAACATTACTCCTTGATTATCCTGTATATACTCTAGACAACTGTCTCTGCTTTTGTATAAAGAGATGTGGGTTTCTTATTAGACTTAAGAGGTTCTTCCTTTTTGGTTTATGTATGAGTATATGCACACTTGTGAAGTCAGTGTTGCCATGTAAAATATATCAAAACAAGACATTTTAATTGAACATCTGTTCTAACAAAAATGATCCATGGGTGATATGTATATAGTATCCCCTGAACGAACCCTCATGCTGCAAGGATGAAGACAGTATTAAGGACCTTGAAAAACAGTTAACTAGTATTCTGTTTTTTTCTTTGTCATTTAAAACTTTGTTCTGTTATTTATTTATTTATTACTATTATTACTATATAGGAGATTGTATTTCTATCAGCAATCCTGAAGGTAACTTCAAGAAGTCCCAAGTTGAAGCTGTAGAAGATCTCTTTTTGTTGGCAGCAGGCACAGGCTTCACACCAATGGTTAAACTGCTCAGTTTTGCTCTGGCTGAAGTTGTTTCTCTCCGGTATGTGCATTTTTTTTTTTTTTACGTTAACTAAACAATAATATGGAATATAAAAAGTCTTAAGAGAGCGTGCAGTAATTTGACATTAAAATAAAATGCAGGATGTTATTGTAGGGCTGGGCTTTGACAGAGGTGAGGTGAGCTTGCATTGCTTTCAGTAGGTCTGCCTGCAGAATCACATCCTCCAGAATTTCTTAACAGTTTACACCTCTGCCAATGCCAGCTACTGTCATTTTAGAGAGTATAGGAATGGAAAATAAGCTTTATTTTCTTTTTAAACTGTTGCTGGGGACAGTTCTACAGACTTGTTGCTGTTTAGTTGTACCTTTGAATTCAGACTCTCTTAAAATACATTTAATTTGTAATACTGGCTTTTATTCAATATAAACTCAGGATGTTTTGGTTCATTATATCTTTATGTTGTTTCAAGATGTGCTTCATAATTGATTCAAATTAGAAGCTAGTCTTCATAGTCAAGTTAAAAAGGATTACATGCACAGCAGTAATCTGTTTCTAGGAAAAAAAAAAAAGTAAAACCAAACTTTATCCTTGTATTACTTGTTGTCTAGCATATAATTTTGTTGAGGAGAGAGGCTGTTTCAGTGTAAAGCTCTTCTAAAGCCTTGTGTATTGTCTGTAGCAGATAATGTGCAGCTGTCTGGCACTGTGAAGTCCAAAAGATAAGTTTGTGATCTGAAGAGAGGCCAGGGAGACACCCTGGAGTGCATTTGGAATAACTTTTCTTTCACCTTGAGTGAAAGCTAGCACACGAGTTTAAGGTGGTTGTGCTGGTGACTTGTGAAAGCAGCATAAGGACAGCAGTGCTGAATGATGCAGATCTTCATTTTTGATCCTCTATAACCAGAGTAAGCATTACATAGCCAAGGCTAAAGAAAAGGCTATGGCTGTGCAGATAGTGACTGCTTTTATCTACTGTCCTTGTAAAGGACTGTCTTCGTGATTTCTTATGGGAACTCAATGGAACAGCATTTTCTTACTAGTTGAAGCAGTTGTTCTTTTCTCTTGCAGCAGGGATATCAGGCACTAGAATGTGACATGGGTTATGCAGCCACCGGGCTTCATGTTTCTGACTGCTGTAGGCAACTTAGTTTCTTGGCCTTATTTTTGCCGTTTAACTCTCACTTTTGTTGGCTAGAAAATGTTGCAAGAGGATTTTTTCATGTTTATTTTATATACTTACATATTTTATCACAGAATCTAAGTCCTCTATATGAAAAACTGCATAGAAATTTTACTGTGGTCAGTTTGGATAGCTCTGCACTTTGTTTACAAACCCCAGAGCACAAATCCCAGTGAAGGCCAAGGCAGGGTCTGGAGGATGACCTAGTTGCCACCTCCATCGTGCTCAGGGCAGGGTAGGATCTCCACAGTTAGCAATAGGGTATGAGAGGTTTGGGCAGCATCTTCTCTAGGTGGTATTTCCTAGAGCGTAGCTATTTAGGATCATTGAGATTTCTGTTCTTACTGTCTAACCTCCATCTCCCTATCGTCATTTAAGCCTGTTGTTTCTTGCCTATGGCAGATACAGAAAGCAATTTATTCTCTTCCTGTCTGCAGTAGCCCTTTGTATATCAGAGTAATAGTCTTCCCTCAGTCTTGTCTCTCCCTTTATAGAGGAAATTGTAGCTGGCCAAAGCATTCGCTTTTTCGCTTTAAGAAATAGCAGTCTCCATGCTGGTCTTTCCTATTCAAGCTGTGATTTTTTGCTCCTTGTGCTGCATTACTGCAGTCATTCTTAAGCTCTCACCCTGTACTTACCATCTGCCTGAATACACTCTCCTCCTCCTTTCCTCCTCCTTTTCTTGCATTTGCAGCCAGTTTTGTAACTTTCTCTCCCTCTTAGTCTGTGTTAAGAGCCTCTAAGGAGCTCTTTAACTCCTTTACCTAAGCAGAAATCTGCATTCATTGAAATGATCTTTTTAAAGTGTTTTTTTTTTTTGGGGATTTCTTCCATTTCCTTCGGAAGGACTGGTAAAGTTTATTATTTCTGTCCTCAGAAATAAGTAACTGTCCTGTCCTCAGTTTGTCCTCGTTATCTCAGTTAGCTCTTCTGTAATGGTACCCTCAAATCCAAATTTTGAGGAGGTGTGAAGACACCTTCCTTTACAGCTAACCTGTCACCAGTTTGTTCCATCTTTATAGCAAAAGGACAAAAGACACTCTTTTCTCCCCTACTTTTTTCAGTGGTTTGCTTTCTTTATCCCTTCCTTCCTTCCACCTGAGTAGCACTTGCTGCTGGGATGCACTATTCTCACTTTCAAAATCTGATGTGCTTGAAGCGAGCTCCATTTTCTGTGTTTTGAGAGCAGTGGGCTCTATTTAAGAAAGCTATTTTTGATGCAATTCTGTCTTCCGAATATATATATACATAGTATTTAAAGACAAAGTATGCTTGGTTTTGTGGAGTAGTGTTTTGTTCTGTACCAGGCAATTTTTTCAAAGCTTATATACTGTAATTTGTTATGAATTGTGCTTAATCTGGACCACCTTCCTTCTCATGGCACTGCTGATGTGTGTTACATGCAACTGTTACACCTCGGTGCTGTATTTTTTGCCAGCAGAAAATGAGCATGTTGCTCATAAGATGATTTGTCATGTTTATTGCCACGTGTAGCTTGGAAGAGACTTCCCAGGAGCTTGAAATGTGCCCAGGTTGCAAGGAAAAAAAGGGAAAAAGTTGAAAGCCTGAAAAATGTGTGTTTCAGGCTGGGAGAATATGCGCTTTTTGACTGTAGTTTGGGAAGCTCTAGGATCCACTTGCAGGAAAGGCAGCTCCGCAGGAGCTGGCTTAGGGCTGAAGGTGTGATGGGTGCAATAGTCCTGACAGATGCCCCGGCATCACTTCCCAGCTAATATTTTAAAAAACAGATTGAGAGAGTAAGGTTTTTCTAACTTATGTATGACTGGATTACATCTTTTTGAATTTAGTATTGATATAACCCTCTTGAAATTCCATCTTCATCTCTACAAGGTGCTGTATGTAATATTAAAAAGGTGTGCAGAATTTGATATATCATCTACTAACTTCAGCAGACATGCTGAAATAATATTGAGAGACTACTATGTAAAACTTCATAAGCAAATACTAAAGCCCAATTTAAGAGTAGAGCATGACTTCTGTGAGAGAGCTCCTTATTTTCCGTAGGATTGCAGTCCAGGTAGGAAACTGGCATTTATAAAGAGCAGAAAAAAGAATTGGACTTTCAAAAGGCAAATATTTCTGTAAAACTCAGTAAGTTCTGATTATTTGATACTTGTTTCAAATACAGGAACAAGCTGCAGTGAATTTTATTCTATTTATTTAGGACAGCAAAGCTGATCTTCTTCAACAAAACAGAAGATGACATACTTTGGAGAAATCAACTGGACCAATTAGCTCTTAAAGATGAAAGGTACTTAAAAGTTCTTTGGAATACAACCTAATGTATAGGAGGACACTCGCGGACGTGGGCTGTGTTGTACAGCTATAGCACAAAGGCAGATGCTGCTTTTGGAAACTTTTAGCTATACTTGAACAAGAGACATGGGGAGTGGAAGAAGCTGAGGGTGAATTGATCCCTGCTCCCTGGTCGCGGCAGCCCAGGGCACTGTTCTGTAGGACCCAGGTGAATACAGGAGCTGGACAAGATGTTCAATAGGTGTTGATTGGGAATGATATCTTGGGTGAGATTACAGCTGAGATGGGCTGAGAAAGTTTTTGAAGGTGAAGAAAACTAATCCTAGCCATAGAAAACAAATATATATGCAAAGAGAAGTGCAAAAGCAATAGACACCTTTGGAGAAAAAAATCTGAATTTACTGAGAAGTCTTGAAAAAAACCTGTTATCGCTTAAGAAAATATTTATATAGAAATTCAAAGTTAAAGTCTATTACTTTTCATTTTTACTTACTCCTTAATCGTGGCAACTTATTCCTTTGTTACAAATATATTATGTATTAAAATTCCCTAGTGGACATGCAGTGTTAATTTAATTTGGCAGGCCATAGTTCTTTCGGGAGAAACAATTTAAGTGTTTTGTTTGCTTTAGTTTCCCTATCTTTGCTTTTGTGACTACATCAATTGCCAGTGTCTAGCTTTTTGGAACTGAAAAGTTCCTTTTGTTTATGCTTATTTATTCTTTGTTGAAATTGTGTGAACTAATTCATTTCATGTGTTCTTCCAAAACATGAATTGAGAAGTCAGTATTTCATAACATAGGGATATCTGGCACCTCCAGAGCTTCCTAGTCTAGACATTGTGCAATATTACAGTCAAGTCATTTCTCCTGTTCCCTATGAGCCTCAGATACGTGAGTGCTTGACTTTTTCTTTATATCTCTCATCAGTAGCTACCCTGGTAGGTCTTCACAACCAGTTACAATATTTTCTCATAGTGAAATTGTAGTGACACTTTCACAAGTGTGGCTGAACATTCTGGTTTCGCTCCTTCCGTATTGCGTTACGCCAACATTGTGTCTGGGAATCATGTAATTGTGCTTTAGTATCTCAATAGGTACCAGGTGATTTTCTATTTAAGGTGAAATGCATAACTAAAACAGTCCTAAGATTTCAATATTGGATTAACTAATAAAATACAGAATATTGGAGGTGATTTGGTTAGCTTGCTTGCTGGGACATGCTGCATGTCTGTGAGGTCTTACACTGTGCCATGGGAGTAGAGCAAAACAAGAAGTTAATTCTAGGGAACCTCAGTCTCTCAATCACTGATGTTCCATAGGAGCTTTGAACTTTGGGTCACTATTTCTGAAATATTTCTCTGCTTTCCAGGTTTGAGGTTCAGTTTGTCCTTTCAGAACCAACAAAGGACTGGGTGGGTAAACAGGGGAGAATTTCTTCATCTCTTCTCTCTGGGCTTATGGAGAGAAGCAGAAAAGACTCCAAAGTGCTTATCTGCATCTGTGGTCCAACACCCTTTACTGAACAAGGAGTACAGTGAGTGTTTCTTTTTTTTTTTACCTCTCTCATTCAATTTGAAAAGGAGTACAGTGAGTGTTTCTTTTTTTACCGTTCTCTGTTTATCATTCAATTTGAATACCTAATTGGCTATGGTGTTTCTTTTTTTTTTTACCTCTCTCATTCAATTTGAATACCTAATTGACTATTTTTTTTTTTTTGTTTGTTTGTTTGTTTTTGTAAAATGGCGTTCAGTTTTCTAATGCATGAGGAAACTTTTAGTTTTTATAAACTGCATTTTCAAAAATGCTTGATGTGATATTTTTAGGACTCAATATGTAGATAGGCAAATATTAGCAATATGTGAATTTCACAAGCTCCAGTAAAAAAGAAACTTTCTAAGAGCACCTCATTAATAATGCTTTTTTCAAGACTTTAAATGCTGCTTTTAGAGCTGCTTTTAAATGCTGCTTTAGAGACAAGTTATAGGAAATAAACTTTCTCTATTGATGCTGGCTTAACAAATTGAGTTCTTAAGAGTAGAATTAGCAGTTGCTTTATGAGAAACAGTTGATTTTTATTTATGCATTTACAGTCTTATTACATCATACTCATTGTTATTTTATACACCATATATTTAAAAATAAAAAGTCTTTTAACTTTCTTCTAGCTTCAAAACACAGATGCATTATGATTTCCATGCAACTGACTTCAGTAGGGCTGTAGAAATGTATACGAAGGAGAGTGAAATTGGCCAATATTCATGCCACCCCTTAAGATATGTGAGATAGTAAAAGCGATGTCTTTAATTCTTTGAGAAACTGTTACAGTATCCTAAGAGTTTGTGCCTTGCACCAGAATTTCTGGCAATGAAACATTTTCTAGCTGTATTCGCAAAGATAACCTGTCTTGTGTATGTTTGAATAAAAACAAGATGGCAGTGCAGAAGTTGGGGTCTTCTGGCTGTATCTGTGATGGGTTTTGGTTTGCAGATACTAATATGACAAACTTTATTTCTGGCTTTCAGATGTCTGAAGGATCTTGGATACTCCCAAGAAGAAATGCATGCTTTTACTGCGTAAAACAAAATGAAGATATCAATGTGTCTTTGTATAACTCAACCTTATTTATTTACCTTTGTGGATTTATTTAAATGAGAAGTAATTTTTTGAAGACTTTCACTCTTGGTACCCAACTGTTTCTTGGAAGAAATTTATCTTTGAAAAAACATTTTATACTGTGTTTTATCTTGTTTTTGTAAATATTTTTGCTAATACTTAAAATTCATCCAGGATATTAATTTATCATACAGGCAAGCAAAAATGTGCAGTACACATTGTTAGTTATATAATATTATTGAGTCATGAGAATTTTGGAATTTATGACAAGCACGGACTTAGATTTTGACTCAATGCTTATTATTTCTTACTGTAAAATGTCTTGAGAGCAATACTGTATGAATTAAAATATTGCACTGTAACTCAGGTAACTGATCACTGAAATACATTCTTTGTCAGCTTAAAATTTTATTTGACTTTCAAGCAATCCAGATAAGTTTTTGGTTTTGTACATATTTACAGAGAATAAAATTTAAAAGAACTTTTGGTAAAATACACACAGTATACATGAAATAATAAATGTAAAATTATTGTTTTTTATTATGTGCATTTTAGTACATTTTCTGTATTTTCAACTTACGTGATACAAAAGAGTTTCCCCAAGTCTAGGAGAGCAGCGGAGAGCTTGGAGCAGAGGCAGAGAGCCTTGGTCTCCCAGTGAACTTTGCTTGTTACGAGCTCTTCTGAGGGTAAATCGCAACAGTTTTGTGGCCTGCAGATGGCAAGGACCCAAAAATACTCTTGAGGGGCTGCAGTAATACGAAGTAGTATTACTTGAATCTGTTTCTTCACTCCATTATTATCATAATGTTATCATAAAACAGTAATCTGGTATCAGATAATAACTTGCCGGAAGGAAAACAGCAAAGCCGTTGCCTCTCTAAATGTCAATAAAATATGTAATTACTGTTTCCTTATGACTTCTAGTACTGTTTGCATCTTCCTGTTATGATGGGGAATAGTTAGTTCTTTCTAAAGAGCTAGGCTTGCAATTGTAGCATCCATATCTTAGCATTTTCATAAAATGTGCTAATAATATCTTTTTATAAAATATCTTTTTATAATTGCTGTGTGACAGTGGCTGTCTATCTTAAACTGATCTGTCATGTTTTCAGTGCACTCGGATTTAGTAGACTTCAGGTCTAGTACTAGAAAAGGCTCTGGCTGTCAGTCAGTGTCTACAGGTCATGACAGTTTCAGAAAAGGCAGTAGTAAATGAGTACTTTGACTTCAAAAGATCACATTTTGGTTTTAATGACTAAACCTTGCATCTTCCTTAGGATACTGAAGAATTTCTGATGTTCCCGTCATCCAGGTTCCCTGAAGACATTGCTGTGCTGAAAGAAACTGGCTTCCTGTGTAAAATGACTCCGATTAATTGCTGCTGTGTCAGGCTTTCTGGTTCCAACAGGTGACTTTCCCATCAGCCTGTCCTTTGTGCTTCCATCATCCTCCTTCACCTTTATCCACACAGGCAGAAGAAGGATAAGTAGTTGCTGTGACATGGGGCTTCAGAAGCTTCTTCCTTTGCCCTAGCACTTAGGCTAGATTCAGCCTGTGACTCTCCCAAAGGCTTAGAGCAATCGCTGCTGTGTCTGCAGGAGCAGAGCCCCTTCAGAGGGCTCGAGGAGCTTGTGAAGTCTGTGCTTAGTCCATCTTCCTGCTGGCTTCTGAAAGGGTGTTTACAGTCTGATGGAAGAGTGGAAGCTGCTGTTTGTGGTTGCAGCATGAAGGAAATCGGTTTTGGAGGCATCAGGCCTGTCAGGAAGGGTGGGGGAGTTGATCCTTGTGAGATTAGCTGTGTTCAGTGTCAGAAGGTGGTGTGGATTTGGAACACTTTGGTGCTGTGAGGGATTGAAGTGTCTGGAGAGGCTTTGGAAATGTGTGAACCTGGGCCCTGGTAGGGAGAGCGTTAGGAATTGGACTCTAGCTGGGTTTTTTAGTGCTCACAAGTCACATATCCAGCACTTACATAAGAAGAAATGAGCTGTCCTGTCTATACGCTTGGTTTATATGCTGTGAATGATACAATAAAAAAACAGGCAAGGCAAACAGCAAAATTATTTGGTAACTTTGGAAGTCTAAGGAGGGGATGAGCGCAGAGGCATTTTGCTCTGGTGGTTCTTCCCCTTAATCTGAGCGTGAGTTGGAACAAACATCATGGGCCTTGGGCTCCATCTGCCTGCAGGGAGGAGCAGAGTCCATTTGCAGGGCTTACTGCAGTTGTGTTTCTCCTGGGCATCTCTAACACTCTGTCTAAACCAATGATGCTGGTATTACAGAGTAGGAACAAAAGGGGATCATGACATGTAAGATGCATCCTTGGAGTTTTCAGTGCAAATGTGTTACAATTTAACTTTTGAACAATTGCTTTTGGTGCTTGTTTCTGGTGCCTTCATTATCTCAAAATGGTCCTGTTTACAACAGAGGCCGTATCTAAATCTGATCAAATAAGGAGGAGGCCGGGGATTCCTTCACAAGATGATCCATGATCATCACCAGGTTGTCATCTGGGTGAGTGTGTTGTGGCTGATCCCATTCCATTGTGGGGAAGGAAAGGGCTGTGATCCCAGGAGATGAAGATGAACCTTGAACATTAAAGAGGTGTTTCTGTTCTCTTTAGAAATGGATGAATGGGGGCTGAATGACTTACAGTTGCCTTGCTTAATGTAAAAACTCAGCGTTACCTATTTTAAATGATATAAAGCTGGGATTCTTCTGCAGAGCTTCAGATGCTTCCTGGTATTTTAAGAGTGTCCCATGGGCTATAATCCCTTAATAAGTATGGAATACTTATGGAAGTGTGCAAATTCAGGTGGTTGTATTTATGTGATAGTTTGCTACAGATAAAGGGATCAATTCTCAGAAATCTAGAAGTCAGAAATATGTAGCTGGTATTTGTGGCTAGAGATTCCCTTGCTAGCTTGTCTGCCTCTGGCCATGAGTTGTAAGAATCTACACATATGGAAGTGGAGAATGTTTCCCAAAAGTGTGTGTGGGGAGTTGTTCATACCAGCAAATGGCTTTGAGCGCTTTAGCTTATGGCCTTGACTTGCCTTGGTGAAACTGGCTGGCTCTCCCCGCCAGCTTTCAGTTGGTTGATTTGTACAGCAAGCTTCTGCCCATGAGAACGATACGCTCTTGCCTCTTGTTGAACCTGGAGTTACTGGGCGGGAAGAGGAGAGAAGGAGGAGGCTTCCGTGCACTGCACAGGGAGATTGACCAGAAACTGCACTTTCCTAGCGTTAACTTCCACCTGCCTAGGAAGTTAAAAGTGGAAGATGGCATCAGAAAAACTGTCTTTCGTACTGCTTTTTACCAAGTACCTGGTTAATGTCAGGCTTTCATGAATTGAGGTTCTCTCAAATTGTTGTCTTGTACTGTCTTATTGTTGTCTTATACTAGCTTTGGATGGTGGTTTTCCAAAGCGAGGAAGGCTTTTTCCCTTAGTTTTCTGTGGGGAAAATTCAGTTTGAAAATATACCAGTTCTAGTTCTGGAATACTTACGTATTCAAAGGCTAATTAAAGCAGGCTTGAAGGAACCCATATGAAGTTGTGGTGTTGCTCATTTCACTGCTGTTGCTCAGGGGGGATTTTGTATGTTCATTAAGAGAGAAATGTGTCTAGAAAAGCTTCCATAATAAAATCAGCCAGTAAGTATAATAACGAATTTGAAGAGTGTGATTGTTAAGTAGGTCTACATTAACTTAAAAATAAAATTCCAATGTTTAATCTACCCAATGTTTGCTTGTTTCAGTGCATCAGTAGTTCCAGACGTGTCCTGGAAGAGGTTCATTACACAGCAAGGCAGGAAATTGTGCACTATTGTCTTCTCTCATTAATGTCTCTGAGCAAAACTAATTTGTTGGGGAAGACACAGAAGCTTCCTCCGTGTAGGTGTATGTTTTATCATACCAGTACTTCCCCTCTCTTCTAGAAAAATGTCAGCATTACAAAACAGTGGGAGCTGCACAAACAGCAATACATTTTGTGCTTGTATTGGTGACCTCAGTGCGGCTCACGCTGCAGGCTGTTGAATAAGCATTTCTTCCCCCTCCCTCACAAGTAGGTGTATTATTAATATCCTGGCAAAACATCCCGGCCTTCCACACCAGACCGCATCCAACAAACCAAGCAAATGCTGCCCCATGGGCACAGTGTGGCTGCGGTGTGGCACGCTCAGCTGGGTGGCTTGAAAAGAAATGTCCCGAGTGCCGGTTTCACCTGCAGATTTCGTGGCTCTCGCCCGGCCCAGGGCCACCTCCTAGGAGGTGGTGGTGGCCCTTCCGGACCACTTCAGGAGGGCCTCTAAGCTCGGCATTACCAAGCTTCCAATGGTAAAAACGTTTATCTTAACAGCAGCTTTTCATAAGGCATTGAAATACATATCTATTTCCTTTAAAATGGGAACCCTCCTCTCTGGCTACATCTTTATTATTCTTTTTTCCCCTCCATCCTTTTGTGAAGTGGCACATCTGCATGGGAAGGGTGAAAAATGCTCTGTCCCACCTATAACCCAGTGGCCATGTCATGTCCAGGGGGTGAAAGATGTGCTTATGACTGTCCTTGGAACGCAAATACTCAGGTTTTAGAACATCCTCCGAGTAATAAATCGTGGGGGGAGAGGGCATTTGGTCCTGTCCCACTCGTACCTCCCCACTGCTCCCTGCTGTCGGAGTGGTGGGCAGAGGGGCTGCCTACAAGTGCATCGTCGTGAGCAGTCCTCTAAACTGTCTCGTGTAAAGGAGCCGAGGGCAAGGATGGCCTTTTCCAGCTCTGGAATGGACTTCTGGTGAGGTAATTACCAATCAGATTGTTTCCTCCAAGGGGGCTTTTCAAAACTTCAGGCGCTTTGTGAGAATTTTTCAAGATGTAATTTAGAACTGATTATTATACTTCAAAAAGCCTCTGATTTTCTTGTAGTTTAGAACAGATTTGATACTGTTCAAAACTTGCTTTGCACTGAGTAGCTTAGCAACAAATGGCCATTTGACATTATTTCAGCTTTCTAATACAGGTATGATGTTAGGTGTTCAAAGTACCTGAGGTATAACTTTAAATTGTGTTTACATCCTGCTGTTCTAATACTTAAAAGACTTAGATAAGATTTTAATTTTAGGTTATAATAAGTTCCTAAAGTGATGGGCATTGGTTAAAACTTTTAAAATCAAGATCAATTTTTATGAACAAATGAAAATGTTTGAGTGTGGCCTGCCTGCCTCCTTCATGTGGTACCAGCCTTACTAGCTGCTAAAAT